CTCCCCGTCAGTTCCCCCCACCCTCCCAGCCAACTCAGATCAACGCCACTCCTTCGGTTCACAATCCGCAATGGCCCACGTCCCAATGCCCCGCCAGCCCGGCCCCATGGCCTATTCACAACAGACCCCGCCGCTGGGGATGTACCCCATCGCACCTCCTTCGCAAGGGTACTCGACGGCGAACCTCTATAGCCCCAACTTTGACGGCCTCGCCCATGGCATGGCCCAGGCGCAGATCAACATGTCACCTATGACACACCATCATCAGCACCAGAACCAACTCTACAACCAGCACCAGCATCCGCAACAGCACCACGGCTTCCAGAGCCTCAACTCGCAGGCCGCCTTCCCGAACATACCTGTCACGTCATCTGCGGGGGCGTACATGTCGGCGCCTCAGGCGAATCCCAACTACATGGCGATGGCGTCGGAACTCGAACCCTTTCCGGCGCTAGATATGAATGTGCTGGGGCTAGGGTTGCAAGATCCGACTGGTGCGGCGGGACAGATGCCGTATGGTGCCGGTGGCAGTGGGCTGGTTGATCTCAACATGGGGCTCGCGATTGAACAGCAGCATCATCACCCACAGCAGCAGTTCACTCCACATGGATCGGTATCACCTTTCGTAAGGTCGCCAAACGCGCAACAGGGTGGCTTTTATCCCTGAGTTTGGTAACAACGAGATGAGGCGGTGAGAGGATGCCGATGATGTTGTATCGAGGTTCTGGAATCGCTTCTGATTCCGCGCTTCTTTTCTGTTACCATTCTTCACTCGCAGCTTGCGGCGTATACCCCATATTCTTCGTTAGATTCCCCGATTCACCTTGATTCGGTTTGCGGCATTGGTTTCATTTCTTTTCGTCTTGGCTCAGCGCGTTGGACACCTCGTGGAAAATATGACGGACGCATTGGATCTGAACGGGATGTGGTGTACCCTGGTTTGGAAATAGAGATCTCTTACGTTCTACTTGTGATGGTGTTTTGGGGTTATGCAATCCATAGACGAGCGCTTTCTTAACAGCATTTGATGGCTACGTTACGAGTATCCTGTTTTCGGAGTGATGGCATAACTGGCATGTGACGTGAGTGTCTTGGTTACAGGGCGCCTGGCCTTCATGGGCACGGCTGTCTGTGCTTAAGTTGGCAGACGGGATGAATATTGACTTTGTCTCGAGATGCATTGAGATGCTTGGCCTGGCGTCGATCCGGAGATCGATACTGGCCGCAGTTCAGATGGTTTGCGGAATGCATTACTGCATGAAGATGGAACGCATGGATTGGGGGATCTCTAATTTCTTTTCGGTCTCCGTCGGGTGAGAATCGTGGTGGTCGTGCTCGGCGCAGAGTGCCTACCTAGCTCGGAGGGTGGGTGTTCTTTACAGATGTAACAGCTCCATGACAATCAATGACTGCAAATTGCAGATATGCTAAAACAGGTGAGAACGGATGCGAAAAAAAAAACAAGAGAACATGAGAAGCCTACGATTAGATAAATCACTATCAATGATCCGTACTCTGGGGTCAGGCAGGATTGCTGGGATGGCGGATCCGCTGGCTCGGGAAGACGTTCCATGTTTGATCAGCATTCAGGGTGTCGTCGTTTCCAGCCGCCTGTGCTGGGTGGGAGAAGAATCCCGAGGCGCTTGGGGGTCTGTGATCAGAATGAGGGGTCTCACTTGCTGGCACCAGTGGCGTCATGATGTTGCGATGGATAAAACCAGGATTTTGCGCGCGATGTTCATCAGCGGTGATGAGGCATGGATGTTGTTAGTTAGATTACTTCGTGAACAGTCGCAACTAAATTCGGGATTGCCTTTCTGAATTTGATGGCCGATAAATTTGAACAGTTGCCTGATGCTACATTGCTGGCTTTCATCCACAAGAAGAGCCGTTCGTAATAACCTCGCACATGCTCCCGCGGCTTCGATTTGTTGTTGATGCTCGATGTTTCTGCTTGGGGTTTCAGAAGCGTCGAAAAAGCGCTCCCAATGGCGCCGTCCCTCAGACAATTCAGAAGGCTCACAGCCAATCGACGCCCACATAACCGCCCAAACGGGCAGCAGGGGTCTTCTCGTCAGCGCTTCCCTTGCCACTAACGTTTCAGACTGGCTGCTGTCTCTGCACTGGCAGGTGCGGGCCACATGCCAAGGAGAGGTGCCAGTTGTCAGGCTTGAACTTTGTCTCAATTCCGCAACCTCGCTTCTCCCTCGCCCATCTCCTAAACGAGTCTCGAAGGCGATTTCTCCCAAACAGGGTTGGGTGACTGGCTTGGGAACTCCCGTTCGGCGGGTGATGTGTTCGCCAATCAATAGACATGGGTCCAACCTGTTTTCCCTCCCTTGCAGCACTGGATCTGTTCCGATTATGTGGATGCTGGCTGTTCGAGACTTTTCGGCGGCGTCGCCGTGTCGGGTTGCCCTGGAGTTGAGCAAGGGCTCCCTCCCTCCCTCCCTCCACCACGCGCTGCCATCTCCATTCCGTTTCAAATACCCGCTCTGGGTCCCTGTCACGCTTTCTTTCCTGGCTTTATCTTCTCCAAGCAACCCCCCTGTTCTCTTCTTTCTTCTGTTTATGCCTCTTTTTTTTGGCACCTTTCCTATTCCTTTCAATTCTTAATGCCCCTTTCCTGCGTTTTGGCTGGCGCCAATCCGTAACTTCGACCTCAAGTTCTATTCAGGCTTGAGCGAGATACTCGGGCTTCCTCCCCTTTGAGGGGCCTTTTCTCTTTTGTCTCGACCTTTCCATTCGTTCCAGGTTGATCCTCGGCCGTATTGTTATGAGACGTTGACTGTCTTCTTTCCTAATTCTCGTTCAATTCTATTATTCGGCCGGTTTCGACGACATTTTACCGAACGCTAGAGGCAAAAATCGAGTGGCAGATATTGGGTATCAGTGGGCGAGAAGAGCGAATTTGGTGGTTGGGTAAAGAGGCAGGACGACTAGAGCATCACTTGGTCGAAGCAGGACAGTTAACGCCGCTCACCGACAACATACGCTATCAGAACCAGAGAAACGATAAGGGATCAGGTGGATATGAAGGGACTTGCTAGGGCCCTCCTGGCTGGGGCGCTCCTCGCCAGCGGGGTTTTGGGCCTGGATGTTCTCGAGACGGTCGGCTTCAGCTCCTGCAACACGAACGCTAGCGTTTCGGTGCAAAGGGTGAACATCAAGTACAACAACGACAACAAGACGGTTACGTTCGACGTGGCAGGGACCAGCAACCGGGTACAGAATGTGACGGCCGTCCTCAACGTCACGGCATATGGCCAAGATATCTACTCGAACTCCTTCGATCCCTGCGATAAAGGCACGTTTGTGCAGCAGCTCTGCCCTGGTACGTCTCATACCATGTTTTAAAGTGTATTAAAACTGTGAGGCGGGAGCTGACCAATTTAGTGCCCGCCGGTAGTTTCTCTGCAAAGGGGTCTCAACAGATTCCCCCAGAGTTCGCCGATCTAGTCCCCGCGATTGCTTTCCAAGTCCCCGATATCGCGGCCATGGCCACTTTACAGCTCCGATCTAGGGAATCCGGCGAGAAGGTGGCCTGCATTCAGTCTCAGGTGACCAACGGCAAGACGACTAGCGTGCCTGCCGTCTCGTACGTGGCAGCCGGCGTGGCGGGAGCGGCGCTGGTACTGACAGGCGTTTCGGCGGCGGGTGCCGCGTTCGCGGGAGGCAGCGCCGCGGCCGGTGGAGGTTCTGCGGCGAGTGGCATGGGTACCATCAGCCCTAGCTTCACCGAAGTGTTCGGATGGTTTCAGGGCATGGCCATGAACGGCATGATGTCGGTCGCCTATCCTGACGTCTACCGGAACTTTGCCAAAAACTTCGGCTTCTCGGCCGGTTTGATTCCCTGGACACAGCTTCAGGTGTCCATTGACGACTTTCGCGCTTCCACCGGAGGCAATCTGACGGAGAACAGCGTCGAATTTCTGAAGAACGCCACCCTCGTATTCGATAGCCCCTCGCAGACGGCCGAACAGGGCTCTCTCAAGAGAGCAATCCACCAGTTTGTGCATCTTGCCGCCCGACAGATCGAGACAAGCGTCAACGGCACGGTTGACGAGACGGACGAGCTGAGCGGTGCGCCGGATTCGGTCCGCGTCGCGGTCTCGGGGATCCAGGGCTACGTGCAGCAGCTGAGCGTCCCGTCGGGCAACGCCTTCATGACGATCCTTCTTGTTGTGGCCATCGTCATCGCGGCGATTGTGGTGGGAGTCCTATTGGTCAAAGTTATTCTGGAATTCTGGGCTCTCTTCGGCAGCTTCCCCAAGGGGCTGGCGGGCTTCCGCAAGCACTACTGGGGCTCCATCGCGCGCGCCATCACTTCTCTGATCATGCTGTTGTACGGCGTTTGGGTTCTGTATTGCGTCTTTCAGTTCACCCGAGGAGACTCCTGGGCCGCCAAGGTACTGGCCGGCGTCACTCTGTTCGCCTTCACCGCGATCCTCGCCTTCTTCTGCTGGAAGATCTGGAGCACGGCGCGCAAGCTCAAGAAGGCCGAGGGTGACGTTGGTTCGCTATACGACGACAAGGACATCTGGGTCAAGTACAGCCTTTTCTACGAGTCGTATCGCCGCGATTACTGGTGGATCTTCCTACCCACCATCATCTACATGTTCGCCAAGGGCTGCATTATCGCAGGAGCAGACGGCCACGGCATGATACAAGCGAGCGCGCAGCTCGTCGTGGAGGGTATCATGTTGATCCTTCTCCTATGGAGCCGCCCATACGAGCGCCGCTCGGGCAACATTATCAACGTTACCATCCAAGTGGTGCGCGTTCTGTCGGTGGTGTGCATTTTGGTGTTCGTGGAGGAGTTTGGCATCGCCCAGACGACCAAAACCGTCACCGGCGTGGTGCTCATCGCAGTGCAATCCGCATTGACGGGCATCCTGGCCATCCTCATCGCATGGAACGCCATCATCGCCTGCTGCAAGCAGAACCCACACCGCAAGCGCCGCAAGGAGATGGGTAAGCCCTTATCCTTTTCTTTCCGTCATACCCCCCACAAAGCTAACCCAACCACCACTTCTCAGAAAAAGTCCAGCGCGACACGCTCACCCCCCTCGACGCGCGCAACTCGCTGCTGCTCGACCGCTCCAAAACAGCCGAATCGGACGTCTCGTCGTCCCTCTCCCTCTCCAAGACGGGCTTTGCGCCGCTCGTCTCGGTCGAGACGGAAAAGTCCGCCGCCGCCGGCGCAACCTCACCGGAACGGTACAGCGGCGGCGGTGCTACCAACGACAACAACAACAACAACGGCAGGCTGTCGTCAAACCCCATGTTTGCGCCCCGCGCCCCGAGCGGCGGGTCCTTCAGCGGGTCTTTCAACAGGGCGCTCACGTCGAATACGGCGACTGTGGGGTTGGCGGTATCGGGCCCGCCGCTGGGAGGGCAAGGGATGAATTTGAGTCGGGAGAACTTGGTGATGGGGGCTGCTCCCCTTGGTGGTGGGATGAGCGGTGGAGGGGACATGCGGCAGCCGACGTTGCCGGATCTGGGGGGTGGGTATGGAGGGTTTGCGGGGTATGGAGGGCAGGGACAGGCGCAGGGAGGGGGAGGCGGAGGGTATGGGGGTTATGGTGGTTATAGGGGGCCTTATGGGAGGTATTGAGCGGGTGCTTGTGGCTGAGATTTGGTGATATCGAGGGGTTGGGACTGCATATATGTGACAATAGCTTATCCGACAGATGTACTATATACCTACCTACCTACCTGTTATGAAGATATGAAGCCAGGCTTGGAGGGTAGAAACAAAAGTACAGTCTACACCATGTGAAGAAATGGGGGCAATGCGTATTCTGATTTTTGCTGAGAATAAACTCTTGAAATTCCCATCTATTCCCGTTCCGCTCTTAACGTTAACGCAGGGTAGAAGCGTTGGCCGCGACCAAGTGCGGGATCTCTTGGTGCACACTGTGCTTTCCGTCCCATTTTAAGGCCTTTCAGATGCGACAGGCCCCTGAAACTGAGGGGCAGCACAGTGGGAAAGTGCCACATTGGTCGCCCAATGACCTCACACTCGCCTGTTGGAGCCCTCTCTCAACTCCATCTCGACATCACCAACTTTGTCGAGTTCAACGGCATCCCACAAATATCCCAACCCACCAGGACTCAATTGTGTTCTGCTCGGCCTTTCTCTAGAATTTCTAGCCACCCCCCACCTCAATCACCTCCCCGAATCCCCACCATCCTCAACTCAAAACGAAACTCATGGCCAACCTTGCTCATTAACCCTTCCTGGCTTTCTCCCTTGGACAACCCCCGGATCATGAGCGACCTCCAAAAGAAGTGGGCCAAAACAAAGATCATCAACTCCATGCACACCATGGCGCCCCCGCCGCTCTCTGGGTTAAATGAGCTCGACGAAGACCGCTACAGCACGGGTTATGTACCCAACACACCGCAAGACGACGACTCGTCTTCTGCGTCGTCCATGTCATCCACGGGTACCGTCATTCCCTCGCCGGGGAGGGCGCTGTTTGCTCGGCCCCAGGGGTACATCCATCCCTTTGTCATACATGACATAACCTCACATACCTATTAATGCATACAACCTAAGCAAATCTAATACGTGTTGTAGATTCGCTGGTCGCTCCCTTGACCCAATCCCATGGACAACCTACTTTGAGCGCGAGCTTTTTCTCCCGGCTCCCGACGGCTCTATTACATATCACGCCTACCTAACTTCTCCGGCACCTGCGTCGGGGCCAGGCAAACCCGGCGGGCCACTGTTCGTCACGCACCACGGCGCCGGCAGTTCAGGCTTGTCCTTTGCAGTGCTAGGAGCCGAGATCAGGAAACGTCTTCCCGGGGCGGGGATCCTGTCACTCGACGCGAGAGGGCACGGGTTAACCACCACCTCGTCCAAGGTCCCTGGCGAGGGGGAAGGGGACGCCGGGAATGACGACACGCCGGATCTGTCGCTCACCACTCTCGCATCCGACCTTCTCACCGTGCTGACCCTCACCCAAGCCGCCATGCACTGGCCCTCGCTACCGCCCATCATCCTAGTAGGCCACTCCCTCGGCGGCGCGGTAGTGACTGAGTTTGCGTCTGTCCTCCTCCCCGGCACAAAACCGACCCCCAGAGCAACCACAACTACAACAACCACCAATCACCACCCCCCCAACAGCCACCAAACCACCCCTCACAACCACATCCACAAACCACCCCCTTCAAGTTGAAGCGGGACTTTCCGGAGAGGTCGGCGCAACATGTCCTCCTAAGA